ATGTGTCCTGTGTCTGTTTTAAAAAGCAATTTCAAAGCTTCACTCACACAACTACCATCTGGGGAGTGAAAACACATCCATAAAATGAGGGAAAACCTCTCCTCTCTGCTCCGTTTCCTAGCCTGATCTAAAATACACACTGAGTTCTGTCCTAGTGACACAGTGTGACCCGGAAGTGTCAGCAAGGAGGAGCATCTATCTAAGTGCTCCTCCAAGTCTGTTGCCTGCTAATCCATCAGGACTGTCAAGACCCCCGGACACAGGCCCTTTGCAGGATCCAAGAAAGAAACTCACAAGTGCAACTTTGCACTGAGCTTTCTGTTTATAAAAGACCTGTCTTGCTAGAATCTGAGAATACCCAACATGTTCATGGGACAGTGCTTCATGCAGAAACTCTTTGACTGACAGCCAGCCTCTCAGCCCTGCATGTCACACTTCTTCCTCCTCAGCAAGTGTCCTTCATTCTGTTATCTGGAGCCTATCACATGTAATGAGCCACCTCCATCTGTTCCAGCTGATCCTCCCTCCACAGCTGGCTGGCTCTGCTTCACTTCATGTAGTTGCTGATCACTATCGGGAAGGGACTGGGATCCAGGGTGACAGCCCTAAAGAGTGACAGGAGATCAAAGGGAATTGTGTTTTGAATTTATCGTTTTTATTATTTCTCAGAATTTGCTGATGACATAAAGGGTTGAACTGACAAGCTTCTATCTTCCAGGCCTCTGAAGACACACATTCCTGCTGGTGACTTTTAATGACTCCAATGAAACACGGGGCCATGCTGCAAATAGCCGCAGTCTGTCTGGGGTCTCGGCATCCTGTTCTGGTCTCAGGACCAGCTGTGGTCCTGAGCTGGAGGGCCTAGGCTAGTGACTTTCCTGAGCCCAGAGTGCTCTGCCCGTTGTGTGCCATGTTCCCTTGGCTGAGAACAAATCGGGCTAATGTCTCCATCGTTTCCCATTTCCTCAGGAATGTGTGAAACCATAAGCAAGGACTTGGATTTCTCCTTTTACCTAAAACTTCCTGGAAATTATCTTTGTGTTTTAGGTTATAAGGGAAGGATTCTGGTGGCTTTAAATGGCTTAAAGAATATATTTTCAGTCATGGGGGAAGACAAGTCTTACCCAATTTGCATGTTCACCATCTGTGGCTCTCTTGGTGTTTCATACCCACTGTCTCACGCCTACACGGTTCTTACCATAAACAATGTTTGTAAAATCATGGTTTTGATGTGCTGTCTGTAAGTTCCAGCAAGCAGTAAAGTTAAAAAATAAATATTAAAAAGTTCCCTATCATTTACAACTATTTCTTGTACTACAGCTCGCCCCCTACTTTGTGAAACACTCCCTTAGCATGGGGCCAGGGGAAGAGAAATTCAGAGAATATTTTAAGTAAGGCTATAAAGGACTGAGAAGCTAGCTCAGTCAGGAAAGAGACTGAGTTTGCCACTGGAAGCTGTGTAGCATATGTAGGGAGGTTGAGAAGGGAGGAGCTCTGGGGCTTGCTATCTCACCAGCTCACTTGTCAGTGAGAAATCAGTTTCAAAAAAATAAAGGGGTTGGGTAGATACCTCAATGGCTGTGGAGTCATGAGGATAGGAGCTTGGATCCAACCACTCATGGAACGAGCAGTGTCCTTATAAACACCCATAACACTGGCCCCTAAGGAAGCAAAGACAGGAGGAGCTCTGGGGCTTGCCAGCTTCCTGCCTAGCTGAGAAAACCAGAGGTCTGGGTTCAGGGACCTCTGAGTGCGAGAGGCAGGTACCTGACACCCTCTTCTGGCCTGCGGGCCAGTACCTGATGTTCTTGAGCCTCCACATGCATATACACATATAAGTATATGTACATACATGCGTATGTGCACCCATGAAAACATGTGCACACACAGAAAGACATAAAGCCACAGCTATTTTCACTTAGCCAGCAGAGCATCATCACCATGGAGCATACAGAAATTTAGCCCACTCCATAAGGATACAAATATATCCCTGCTAGTAACCTAGAACTTAAATAAAAGAGGAAGACATTTTATCATTATTGTCTTTTGTTGTTGAAAAAGAAGTCTCTTGAGTTAACTTGGCTGGTTGTCTTCTACTTGACCCTTAAATGATCACGCCTGGTGTGGGGAAGCCCCAAAGACATTGCTGTTTATTTGGTGTTGAAAGGAGACAACAGAAACAAAAGGCTTCCATCTTCCTAATCCTACCCCTGAAATCTCCAAAAAGAGGCAAGAGGCTCAGCTGTCACACACGATGATTCTCTTAGGCTCCCAGTGAAGCACTGGATAAACAGCCATCTCAGAGGCTTCTGCTGGAAGGGGAGACTGACCTCCCAAGGCCTTCAAACAGTCATCCTAACTGCAACAGGATGAGGACAAGCAGAGTGTTTGGACAAATTACCACACCACCAGTGAGAGTGTTACAGACACTGACTTTTTCCTGGTGAAGTTTACTATAAAGATTTCAGTTGCAGAGTTTATGTTTTAGAAAGTGAAGCTCTCGGGGCTTGAGAGATGGCTCTTAAGTATCTAAGAGCACCGGTTGCTCTTGTAGAGTACCACAGTTTGATCGCCATCACCCTCGTGGCAGCTCACAACCTCCTGTAGTTCTAGCTTCAGGGACTCTGATGCCCTCTTATGGCCTTTGAAGGGGACTGCATGCATATGATATGTATATGTGCAAAACACCCCCATACACATAAAAATTAAAAAAAGAGAATTCCCAGAGTTTCTTTTCTTTTTTTGTTTTTTGAGACAGAGTTTCTCTGTGTAGCTTTGGAGCATGTCCTGGAACTAGCTCTTGTAGACTAGGCTGGTCTCGAACTCACAGAGATCCACCTGCCTCTGCCTCCCAAGTGCTGGGATTAAAGGTGTGCACCACCACTGCCGGGCTTCTCAGAGGTTTCTATAGGCAAGTCTTGCCCTGCCCCCTCCTTTCACCTTCTTTTTCTCTCCCCATCTTTTGTGGGATTTTTTTGTTTGTTTTGAGACATAGTCCCTCTACATAGCCCTGGCTGTCCTGGAACTCACCATTAGTCTAGGTTGACTTTGAACTCACAGAGATCTGCCTACCTCTACCTGCCAAGTGCTGGGATTATCCAGTTGGTTTTCTGTTTGTTTGCTTGAATGCAGTGCTGAGGAGTAAACCCAGGGCTACATGCCTGCTAGGTAAGTACTCTACCAGCTAAGTATCCTCAGCCTTTGTATGGATTTTTTTCAAACCAGTAATTTTATAGAATAGCAGAAACAAAAACTAACTTGTGACAGAACTCTGGTAAAAAGCCTTTTGTTGTCCTCAGTGTTGAGTCCCACTGGACACTGTGGGGCTCAAAGTAAGATATGCTGAGTTACAGACACACTGGGACAGATCCTGAGGTCTTAGCAATTAACTCAGCACTACCCCCTACTCAGTTTTTCTAGCCTTGCTCCTGAGCAGTGATTCTCAGACCCTTTTGGGGGACGAATGTCCTAAGGCCAAGGGAAAACACAGATATTCACATTATGACTCATAACAGTAGCAAAACTAGAGTTATGAAGTAGTAGTAAAATAATTTTATGGTGGGGGGGTCACCACAACATGAGGAACTAACTACATTAAAGGGTTGCAGTATTAGGAAGGGTGAGAACCACTGCGGGAGAGACTGTGTGGATTCCTCTTCCATTGCTGGGCAATACTTCAGTATTTGTCTCTTTACAATGTTGCCCTGCTTTGTTCAAGCAAGCCAGAGCTACATAACTCACCTAGCATTTTAAAAAGAAAAATGTATGCATATATGTGTATCAGTGTGTGTATGTGTGTATGGTATGTGTGTGTGTGTGTATGGTGTGTGTGTGTGTGTGTGTATGGTGTGTGTGTGTGTATGGTGTGTGTGTGTGTATGGTGTGTGTGTGTGGTGTGTGTCTCGTAAGGGCATCAGACCCTCCAGAGACTGGAGTTATAGGGGTTTGTGAGATGCCCAATGTGGGTTCTCAGAACCAAACTCCCCTGGAAGAACAGCGAGTGCTCTAACTAACCCCTGACTCATTTTCTAGTCCCCCACCTGCTAGGAGAACAGCAGGAGAGTGAGCCTGCCTCACAACATGGCTTTCTAAAACCCACAAGCAGCGTCCTAAAATTACACAGGAACTTCAAATTGCTTGTATCTAAGTTCCCTGCTATGTCTCATCAGCCCAGATGCGGAAGGAGTCAAGTGAGCCAGAACATTCTTGAACAGTCAGACGGCTAAAGAGCACCCAGACGGTACATTGAGAGCCAGACAGACAGCACATTAGAGCTGGCGAAACATACAACCAAACCCCGCATTTCCTAGTTTGCTCAAGGCCAGGGAATTGGTTTATGCTAGAGTCAGAGCTAGAAACCTGGAGGCCAAACACTCATTCTTTTTGTCTCTGAGCATGGTGTTAAAAAGTCTGACTGACTCCTATGAATGTCACCTCTTTTGTGTGTGTGTGTCAGTTGGATTTATACCACCCAGCTCCAAACAGCAGGGGGCTGACCTCCACTCTATATAGAGACCTGGATAGCTCAAGGTACAATACCTAGAAAGCTGACTAATGAGAGAGGAAGTGAGGCAGATCCCTGGGGCCTGCTGGCTGAGAGGTGCTGAGGAACAGTAAAAACAGGAACAAAACCACCCAAGACTGAACTCTGCTCTTGCTATCAGAAGTCAGAAGCACCAGCCTAGAGTTGAGGACGTAACTCAGTAGTAGAATGCTTTACAGACATCCATAAGGCCCCTGGTTGCATTCCTAGCAGCATCACCAAATACATGCACACAAATACATACACCTTACGCCATATACAAGCGAGACCCAGGAATCACAGCAGCGCTCTGCTATCTCTTTGCCAGCTCTTAGTGCAGGGACAACCTCAGGGCCACCCTGCTTTCCCTCGGGTGGAAGAGCACACCCATCCACTCTCCCAATATCACGACCAGTGTTTGGCAGGCCACTCTCAAATGGCTTCTGCATGTGGCTAAATCCAAGTGCAGCAGACCTACCTGTCAGCATCTCCGAGGCCCAGGGAGGTATTTCGTTGTAGGGTCTCTCGCACCACAGCCATCCCATCAGGAAGCCGGTTCAGGCGACGAGTGTAGAGGCCAAGTCCACCATCGGTCATGTACCTTTGAAAGAAGAGGATGGCACGTGTGGTCAAAAGCAGTGGCACACAGTCTTGCCATTGTATCCGGAAACCCTGCACAATACCTCGTGCTCTAAGGGGGAAGGAAAGATTCCCCAGGCTCCGTCACTACAGCTCAAGGAAAACCCGGCTGCTGATTCAGTCTAGGATCTTGGGGGCAGGGAGAATCCAAACTCATAGGAATCTATGAAGCAGACGGGACTGGTGAATAAAACCGGCTGTCAGATGCATCCATGGTGTGCTTCTGAATGTCAGCGATCATACAAGCAGGTGCTTTACTGATGTCATGTGAACAGGCTGACAAGTCCTCAGCACACTGTGGGCAAAACAGCTTTTGAGGGAGAAGGCAGGAAAAGATGGAGGGAGGAGAAAGGCTCCCAGAGCCTTTAACATTGTGGGAAACCTCTGAAGACACTGGGAGTACCACTCATGCTCATTTACTCCTGGCCATGCTTCAAGCTGTCTTCTGTTGTACTCAGTATTGTCTAGGGGGAGGGAGAACCTTCTGAATAGATGCCTTAAATTCTACCTACCAGAGTCCCTGAGAGCAGTCACTAGTCAGAGGTTAAAGCACAGAGCATCCGTGCCTCATTCTACCTGGACCCTTCCCTAACCCCCCCCCCCCAGGGACTGGTTAGGTGGTCCTCCCCTAACTCCCTACAGTGACTGGTAGGTGGTCCTCCCTTTATCCCCCCACAGGGACTGGTTAGATGCTCCTCCTCATTTTCAAAGGAGAATAGTAGCAGAGCTAAACTGAGGCAGAGTCAGTGGGACACTGAACTTGATCATTTTGCCAAGGAAGGGGCAGAGAAGAAAGTCCTCCTGGGAGCCATCTTGTGTGAGCAGTAGCATGTGCGTGAGTGTGAGTGCACACACACCTGTTCAAGTCAATCAAACCAAGTGTTTATGGTTGTGCCAACAAGGTAAAACAGATTGAACTTTTCACCTAGCAGTATGATTAAAATCTGTGAAAATCCACTGAATTGTAAACTTTAAAATGGTGTGTTTTTATGATACATGAATCATTTATTAATGAAAACTAAAATAAAAATGCTCACAGCTATCGTTAAACACTCCTTTGCATAACTGCCTTTTAATGCTTTTCTCCCAGGAGATGATGTGCTTCTCGTATGCAGGCTAGAGCATTATTTTGTTTCAATCCACATCTTTAGTTCATCCCAATTCTGTGTGTATATTAAATATTTCTTTGCTTGAATAAGTGAACGTATGAAGGAATAAAGCAAAGTCCCAACCACAGAGGGTTTAGCAAACACACACCACGATCACACTGATCAGAGCGTTTTTCCCTCCAGCTTAATGTTAGCAAACTTGAGACCTAAGACACAAAGCAAGGCAAATGGAATGTCTACCTGCCACTGTACCCAGCACCCATTCATCTGTCCAGCTGTCTGTCTGTCAACCAGATGTAGTAAGCCAGTGTATAACAGAGTGGGCAATGTATAAATCCATCTAGCAAAAAGGGAGAACACTTCCACTGAAAGGCACAGCCTCTGTTGGAGGCGGAGGCTGAACACTGAAAAAAATGCCCTTGCAAAGAGAGCAGGGGAGCTCTTCATGGCACAGTCTCATGTGCCACTAACCAGGGCTGTTAATCTTGATCTTACCACAGTCACCCTGCCAGTTAGATAAACACAGTTTTTTTTTTTTTTTTTTTTTCAACTGGGGAGATCTTGTCAAAGGACAAACAAACTAATTTTAGCATCACTCATTTCCCTGCTGGATTTTTATTGCTGGTGAAACAATACATACAGTTGGGCAATTACACGCACCTGGGCAAGTAGATGCCACCCCCCCCCCCCAGCTTTCTTCTGAGGGAAGAGTGGATCTGGTGATCATTTCAGAGGTGATATGTTAGGACAGACTATAGCCTCTGACCCACACTCACACCCATGCACACGAACAAACCACCACCACCACCACACACACACTGAAGAGAAAGACTTTAAGTTTATTATTATTAGTGTGCATGTATGTATATGGTGTGTGTGTGTGTGTGTGTGTGTGTGTGTGTGTGTGTGTGTGTGTGCATGTGTGCTGTGTATAGGTTGCAGAGAACTACTTTATGGAGCTAATTCTCTCCTTTATGCAGCAAGTGTCTTTATCCACTGGCCACTTGCAGACCCTCTGCATATCGTTCTAGTTTCTGGCTGAGCAAATCCAATCCCACATGAATGCCTGGCTTTCTGAAAAAGCAGTCATTGGTGCGCCCATCTAAAACCCTGTCCAGGGCTCAGAGATGTTCAACAGGCTCATGCTCTGAGGGCTTCGACGGCGCTCATCGGGGAGAGGGTGTCACCTCAACTTTCGAAGCTCTCTCTGAGGCTCACATGGGGTGGAGACATGAAATGACTTGCCCAAGGTTACAACAAGCTAAGAAGACAGCTGATCCAGGGCTGAGTCCCACAGCCCCAGAACCACACCTTTCTTCTCCTTGGGGACACAAACAATTACCACTGTTACCCAAGGAGGAGCTGTGACACCTTTGTATTGCCACATGGATTCCTGCCTAAGTTGCAGGCTACTGAACAATTTCTACATTGTTCCCCTGGCTTCTGTAGTAACAGTGGTGAGGGTCTTTGCTTTTCAAGACCTCCCAGAACAGGATCATCTCATAATTAAAATAGATAATGTTCCTATAATGTTCCTACTATCTACTCCAAGTGTCTACATCACAGGACAGTCATTATATTATCTCCTGAACACAAATATAAGCACTAGGCTTTGTGACAGCCTGGGGACAGAGAAGTGAGAGACCTGGCCTCTGCCTGGTGAGACTCACAATTATTAGGTATCAAGCAAATAATTCTTCACTCCAAACAGAGGGGTGCAACATGAAGGTGTGAGAGTCTGGAGGACAGGGGCTTGGGATGGGGTGGGGCAGCCACAGGTGTCAGAGTGCTGCAGAAGTTCGTCCTGCAGGTGACATTGGGGTTTGTAAATGAAAAGGTCCATCCAGGAACATGGAACCACACGGTACAAAAGCAGGGAAAATGGAAGAGGAAAGTCAGGAAAAGGAAGGAATTTATTGTGGCTGGAACACCAGAGATAAAGAAGACTAGTGGCTGGGCGGTGGTGGCACACGCCTTTAATCACAGCACTCGGGAGGCAGAGGCAGGCGGATCTCTGTGAGTTCAAGACCAGCCTTTTCTACAAGAGTTAGTTCCAGGACAGCCTCCAAAGCCGCAGAGAAACCCTGTCTCAAAAAATGGGAAAAAAAAAAAGGCTAGTGAACTGCATGGGGACTGAGGCAAAGTACTGGGGTGCAGGCAGTACTTTGAGACATCTAGAGTTCAGCAAGATGGACAGACAAGATGGTACCAAACAGGTGAGTAACAAGGTCCACTTCAGTGCCAAAGACCACACTGGCTTTCCATGCCATCATCATTTCATACCCTATTTGTAACAAGACTTAGTTATTTATAGTTTTAAATTAATTTACGTGTTTGGGTGTTTTGTCTGCACGTGTATATCTGTGCACCATGTACATGCTGATGTTCAGGAAGGTCAGAAGATGGTGTTGGGTCCCCTGGGACTGGAGTTACAGATGGTTGTAAGCCACCAAGTGGGTGCTGGGAATCAAACCTGGGTCCTCTGGAAGAGCAGCCAGTGCTCTAAACTGCTGAGCCACCTCTTCAGCCCCCCATTCATTTAATTTTAAGTTCATGTATGCCCCCTGGAGCTGGCGTCAAAAGGGAGTGGTGAGCCCTTCCTACAGGGGCTGGAACTGAACTCTGCTCCCTTAGAAGAGCAATATGTACCCTTAGCCTCTGAACCTCCTCTCCTGACCCTTCCTACAAGGGCTGGAACTGAACTCTTGTCCCTTAGAAGAGCAATATGTACCCTTAGCCTCTGAACCTCCTCTCCTGACCCTTCCTACAAGGGCTGGAACTGAACTCTTGTCCCTTAGAAGAGCAATATGTACCCTTAGCCTCTGAACCTCCTCTCCTGATCCCCACACAACAAATACTTTTTGGGTGAGCATTTTGATATGTTCTTCCACACATGTTGCAGTAGCTCTCATGCTGGCTGGGCCACCCTGACTTTCAAGGAATGATCAGACTCATACAGTAGACCTCACTGTCCATGTAACCCCAAGAATGCTATAAAGGCATGTGCTGGCTGCAAGCAACAACCCCCCCCCCCCAAGAGAGGGTTTCTCTGTGTAGCCCTGGCTGGCCTGAAACTTGCTCTGTAGACCAGGCTATCCTCAAACTCAGAGATCCATCTGTCTCTGTTTTCTGAGTGCTGGGATTAAAGATGTATGCCACACTGCCTGGCTACAAGAAACTTCTTAAACTGACACTGGCTGTGGAAAAAGCTTTGGAAATCCCACAGGATCCATTGGAAAATCCATGATAGACATGGAGCCCAAGGCTTGGTAAAGAGATCGATTTCCCTTCAAGTGCAGCGATGTAATACTATAGAGCTCATGAACCTGGTTTTGTGAGTCACCTTCAGGGAAGGGACATGTCCTCTTACCGTCAAAGTTCACAGTTCAAGCTAGTCTACCTCAGTACTGCACACGCACCTCCCAGCTGCAAGAAATGAAAGCCCAAACAGGAGGAGGGAAATCACACCTGGCCTGGGCGATCACTTCTCTTCAAAGACCTGTTTAGAAATGAATGTAGGCAAATGGGCTAAAAGAGTTACACGTAGGTGAGCTCCTTTGCCAACGCCAACATAAATACATGAACATGTGTATCAGCAGATACGGTGTAGCTGGTGAGCTGAGAGCAGGAGGTGAGCTGATGTGATGGACAGCCCCAGAGCCCTACATTTTAGCAGCCAAACAACATGTGCTTTCAAGGCTCTCTCCAGGGTTACAGCCCAGTGTGACATTGATTCCCTGAGTTTATTAGGATGTAAATTGAGTTTCTGAACAAACCTGTAAAAGGATCCTTTTAGCTTAGGGCCTCTTAGAAGTTAGAAGGATAAACCTCCCTCTGGGTCACAGAAGGACAA